GGGGGGGAAGAAATGGCGCTGCCGTCTCTCCGTCAGACGCCCGCCAGGAAACAGGGCCGCTGCGGCTCACTCGCACCTGGAAGGTTTATTCTCACTTGTGGTTCACATTTAAGTCGCTGTCGCTGAGGTTGGTGGGAGCTACGTGCTTATGACTGCACTGGTTTGGAGAAGCGGAGAAGCTGATGTTATTGCACATCAATCGCATTGTGTCGTGTGCGAAGGGTGTTTTGGTTTTGGCTGGAAAATAATGAAGAGAAGGATGGATGTGCATTAGGAGAAAACAGATTTTGCCCTCTAGGTACCAAATATAATATATGTCATAATTACAGGCATCTTTTTATCTGGCAGCATAAAAAAATGGGCAGTGGAGGAATAATAAGTACTTTCATATTTGGCAGATAAGAGGGGAAAGTCCTGTGGCTGTAGTGGCCGGAGCAGCACTGCACCCTCTCCTCCTCGCTCATCTTTACATTCTGGCTCGCTGCACAAATGTAATTTATTCTGCTAATGGGGGCTAAGGTTTACCTGCCCTGCAGCCCTGGGGGCTGAGGCAAGGAAAGGGGCTGCGAGTGAAATGACTTTCAGCTGCGCTATTTTTCATTGCTGTTTGCGGGTGGGTTCAGAGTTCATTGCGTGGGAGAGGCGAGTCTGCAGCGAGGGCAGAGGAGAAGGTCCCGGTCCCTCCCGCGTCTCCCCAGCCACCGGCATGGCTGCTGGCATAAATTAAAGCCAGCCCTCGGGGATAATTCTGGCGGCCAGGGGTTGCGGAGGCACCGGTGCGTGGGCGATGCAGAGCGGCTGATGAGCACCGTGCACCCTGCCGCATCCCCCAGGCAGGAGCCCGTCGTGAGACCCCCGCGGCCTCGCCGCAGCGCAGACTGGGACGAGAGCGAAGCAGCCAGAGCAGCGTGGCAGCGGGCCCCAGAGCTTGTCCTACGGTACGGATTTACACCCTGCCAAGTGATGGGAAAGCTTTACACGCCTTAAAATATGAATGACTGAAAGCTGAGTCTATGGGAGGTGGCAAATGTGCTGATCTCTACATTTTTTAGCACAGGAATTTTCTAATGTGAAGGAACCTTTGAGCTCTTCATGAATTAGGCATAAAGCGGGCAGAAGGTGATGGGAACAAACAGGTACGTGCTCAGCGCTGAAGGTGCGCTGGTAGAAATCTCACCACCCTTGCTGAGACCAAATTTGTGGAGCAGGATGAATAGAGAATCCCTGCCAAATAATCCTGAGACCCTTGTGCCGTTGACTTGACCTGCCTGTTTTCAGTTGCGGTATGGACTTTTCCAGTCGCAGAATAAATTCCCTCCCTTGCCCTCGTTGCTCAGCAGAGAAACGTAAAACAGGACCGAAAATCAGCGCCAGCCCAAACCGAGCATCCCTGCACGTGCAGCGGCGGTGCTTTAGGGCAGATTGGAAGTAAATTCCTCCCTTCGATGTCAATACTTATTTATCTACGCTCAATATTAAGGCTGAATGGGGAATTTTCAATTCCTGCTTTTTAAGATTTCTTTCTTTTTTTTACCCTTTTCTTGTTTTAAAGCGTTTTGTGCTGCGAGCTGCAGCGCGGCGGAGGGGTGTGGGTGCGCGGCCCCCTCTTCCCGCAGCGCTACTTCCTCACATACATCAGTTTATGCCAGAATTTAAAAATTATTTAGGATTCTTTTAAAAGAAACTGCTTTTTTTTTCTTTTTTCTTTTTTTCTCCAAAGAAATGAAACCTTCCATGGCAGGCTATGAAAGATGGATTATTCACCTCCAGACTGGGCACAGGTCTGATCCAATCTTAGAAGTAAATGCATGTTTAGTCTTTAAGGCAATTTGTTTATCCATGTAAATACATATTTTGGTATACACATTCTTTATAACACAGTTAGGTGGACTAAGCGGAGATTTTGGTAGGCATCACATTTACCCTTGTTCGTCTAGAACGCTAGCTCTGAAAATGTGCAAAAAAGCAGCTTTTACTGGTGATGGTTTTTAACACTCCTGTATCTTAAAAACAGCGTAGTTTCTAAAAAAAATACATACATTGAAAAGTTTAAAAAAAGCTGCCTAGCTATGTAGGATGCTTTTCCTGCCAAGTTATAAACCCTTGAGAAACTGCATTTGCTCAAGAAGTTGTGAGACATCCTTTAATTTGGTATTAGTATAATATCACGATCAGCAACTATATCATTAGAGCATCATTGCTTCTACGTATGTCACCGACGCAATGGTAACTGCAGACCTGAGTTATTGCACAAGGAGGGCTCATGGCGTTACAGACTTTGGGGTTTCCAATGTGGACAACAATCTTGATATAAATATTTAGTTATGCTTCTTGGAGCTAAGCCATTTATTTTTCACGTTTGAAAGGTGGGAATAAATATAATAATATTTGCCCGGCAGATATGAACAGTATGGGTTAATCCTTTGACGAAGCATAGATGGTACCTTCAAACAGTTGCCTAAAGCAAGTACACCCCACAAATTAGAGGGCAGGTAGGGTTGGTAAGATGTTCTGTTCGGTTTGCAGCCCTCTGCACCGGCCGTTTGGAAGAACGTCCCGAGAAGTCCCAAGCTGTACAATTACCAGTTTACCGCACGGAACAGATTCACCAAGAATCAAGTTTCTTTATTTGATCCACACCGCCTGCAGCTCCAATCCTGCCCCAGTTCAGGTCGCCTGCCC